TGCCCATTCTCATTAAAACTTTTGTGTTTACCAGAGGATGTAAAGAAATTGTCAGATTCACTTTTTTAGATTATTGACACTGCAAAATTACAACTGTACAGTAACTCCTTTCTTTATTGTAAATTATAATGGTGATCTCATATTTACAGCTGACAGAGAGGAACACGTGTGTGTACTGGAGGAGGCAGCCGCCCTGAGGTCAGTGATAAAGAGGCGCTACCTACAGGAGCAGACGACAACCGGAGGAGAGGTCGGCCATGATGAAGTCACCAGACGTCTGCTGGCGGAACTGCAGGATGAGCAGGATAGAGAGAGCGCCACAGTGCTGTATTCACTGACACAGAAGGTAGACGGAAAACTTGTAATCTGATGCTATATCTTTCCTGAATTACTTAATTGACATCTTTGATTTCGTTATTAAGATAGATGCAGTCATGTTGAAGAAAATGAAAAATTTATCATATATTTACACAGAAAATATATGATTTCTAAGTAGTGACTGAGTAAGATTGAACAGGATAATGATTCAACTTTTTGTTTCAGATTTCATCAAAAAGGTTTTTTTAATAGCCTTGATAAATTTATATCTAAAGACTGTTGCCAACAGGTATTTGAGAAAGATTAACAAAATTATAAATTTTTAAATTTGTCTATTTTTAAAGTCATAATAACTCTTCGTTTTGGCCAAAAATACGATATTCCTGGAAAAAAGGGCAATTTTCCCATACTTACCAATGGTCAACGACCCCATTCCTGCATTCAAAGTTAATCCAGGGTTTTTTTTTCCTAAATGTATGGTTTTTTGTTTGACGGAGCCCTCTCGTATCGAGGGTTAGTTTCTGGTGACCTACTTAAAACCGCGGAAAAAGTAGACAACAACAACACTATATAACAATATTATAAGATTCATAAGATATATTCGTCTTTTTGCTCAAAATGCATTTATATCTACAATGTGTGCAATTCTGGGCTTTTCGTTATCCGGCGCACTGTACAAAAACTCGCAACTTACGTCTGAGGGTTTCCCGCCATGTTATTTTGGTCTCGAATGAACGCGAGAATCCGCGTGACACCTAAACGTCATTGGCAACGGATGCACTTGTCGACCGCGAAGAAAGGCACGAAAGCCCAAGTGACAAGCACAGATTTTAGTTTTACTACAATAACAGTCGTTTTAGTGGGAAAATGCAATAGAATATATTTCCAGGCATTGTTTACAATGTATTTCTTGCGGAATTTTGAATCTCAAAGGAAGAGTTATTATTGCTTTAAGCAGAAAAAAAGGTTTTAAGTTTTGTTTGCATTACCTTGATATGCAAATAAAACATAATTGAAGTCACATATGGACATAATAAAACACAGCAAAAACAACTTTCACTATTCAGGATGCAGATGACCTTGAGATAGGTCACAGGTTAGAGATCAGGGCACGCCACCAGGGGGCAGCAGAGAATGTCTTCCTCGTGTTGACTAGGTATGAAGGAACATCTCCAGATGATGAATTGCTCAAGGTACGTTGATGTTTTTTATTCACTGTAAAATAATGAAAATTCTGTCAAATGGGAAATATTGGAGTAAAAAGATGGTGAATCACTTAAAAAGATATGACATGTATGATAATTAATACTTTTTAATCTGCTGTATGTAATTGAAGAATCAATCAAATGAAAAAATACTTCATAATTAAAATGCTGTAATTGTGTGGGAGAGCAATGAAGATGTTCATATCAATTTGGTCGTCCTTTTATCTTGAAAGGAGCTCCTATCAATTCCTATATACTGTACGTATAGGAAGTTCATAAAATGCATGGTGATATTTTATATCCAGGCAATAGAGGACAAGTATGACACCCTGAGAGACAAACTACTGATGGAACTCCTCATGAAGCAGATGGGAGAGGCAGAGTGGGCCAGCCTCAGCGAAAAAGAGCGGCAGCGCAGGCTCATGCAACTGAAACTACAGGAGAAGAAGTTGCGGAGAGAAGGTGACTTTTGTTGTTGATTGAGATTATTATGAAATCATTTGAGTTCAAGTATGTGCCAATTCTAAAAGCACAAGGATATTTTATAAATTTAAGAGGGATTTTTAAAAGGCATGAAAAAAATAACACGTAGGTTTTTTTATTTACAAGCCCATCACTAGAATGTATCAATATATAGTGGTAGATATCAGTCATAATGCATCACAACAGTGTGATAAATTGAAAATTTTTGGTTTTTTCATAGGCAAGGAAGATGAACTGCAAAAATTATTTGGTGACCTTCTCCAACAAGAAGAAAACCTGCGTAAGCTGATGGGAGATAACAAGGCGGAGTACGACAGGAAACTCCGAGAGAGGCTGGCCAGGAGACAGAAGAGGATTGAGCAAGGTGAGGGTGGTGTGAATACCACTTGCCTGTGCTCTGCATGCTCTTGTAACAGTTGTTCTATTTTTTAAACTTTATTCCTTGTGTTTTCATTTTTGAAATGAACGGCATTGACTAATAAAATACCAACACAAAATTAAGCACACCATATATATGTTTTTGGCATTTGACATAAAAAAAGTTTTAACCGTGTGACTGTTTCTATAACTCATATTACCATACTTACTTTAGTATAATAAGCTAACTGATAAAAAGGAATGTAAGTATTCTATTACAGCAATGTTTTTTCCAGGTTTAGATCCTGATGAGGATGAGGATGGAGAAGGTCTAGATGAGGAGGAGAGTGGCCAGGGTGACCCCCTCAGTGACTTGAACAGTAGAATGGAGGAGGAAAAGAGGGCGCTACTGGCAAGACTCCACGGTGAGGCTCTCTAACGCTATATACCATATGATGCCATTATTACATCTCATAGAGCATCTCTGACTTATTTTCTATCTAGCTTACAGCAGAGACACTTTATCTTAAATAAACTGGGGGCATCTTTGTGATTTTTTAAACACTTAGCTATGGCTTGCTGGTCATTTGATAATAAAGGCTAATGCTCTGTTTAATTTAAATGCAATAAAAGTCTTTGTGATAATTCTATTTGAGTGTAACTTAATCCACTACAATTATTACAAGGGTTTGTAAAAACTGATTTTCTAGATGGAGCAAGGGTCTGATGTAATAGTTGTTTTGGTTGTAAGTTGTTACGATTTCTCAGTGAGTTCATCTTTACAGTGATGGTTTCTGTTATAACTTCCTTTCAGCAGATCTTCCTGAATAATAACCAATACAACTGCTACTTTCAGGTCTGAATGATGAATACCTGAGTGAGCGTGAGAGGCAGGCAGAGCTGGTGAGACTGAGGAGAGAGGCAAAGAGAGCCGGGAAGGAAGAGAATTTCCAGAATGCTGCTCTCCTGATAGGTCTGGCCGAGAGAAACCAGGCTACTTTAGCTGAGAGGTGAGAGAATTTTGTAATTGGCCGGGGGAGGGGGGTCTTGGAACAATTTCTGAATTTTTTAAGTCAGATTTATAATTAGAATTACTTGCAGACATAGAATTTGAATGGCTTTACTGTAAAAAAAAGGTTTACTGAGTGCTGACAGTATGTGAAATTTCATTCAACATGCTTGACAAAGTAACACATAAAATATAGTAGTTTGTTTATTTTATTTTGTTGTTCTTCTTCTCATTATTTTATAATCATATTATTATTTATAATTAATATTTCATTTCAGGCTGAAAAATGATCGTCAGAGACAAGAACAACTTGCCAGAGAGCGTCTTGAAGCTCTGAGGAGACAGAGAGCACAGGGAAAGCTAGGAGAGGATGACTCTGAGGACAAAAGTAAGTTTTAACATGATCAGCTTTGGAAAAAATATTAACTCAAAATTTTTTTTGAAGAGGATGATGTTTAAGAGTATATTGGGCTTGTATACATTAATAGATTTTTTATATGTGCCCCAGACAGATGTGTTTAACAATTACCAATCTGATGAATATTAGGACACAACTCTAGATCAGACTAAGAAGATGTTCATAGTTATTTTGGGTACATGTCTAACAATTTATTTGTTTCCCAAGGATTTGTGAAGAAAATTATTTTTTCAAGAATTTAAGTTGGTGGATTTTTGTCTTTGATAACAATACTACAGGACTGCTGTGCCAAGAGTGAAAATGGGAGTCACTTTTTCAAAGAAGTGGAACATGATTAATTCATGTTAGCAGATGAAAACTGGAAATGTGGCTATCAGAGAAATTAAACAAATTCCATTGTATAATGTTTATAAAATTTGACTAGTGAAAATTTGATAATTTTGCAAAATGATGTCATGGAACAACTTACAAAACCATTTTTTCTTTTTTTATTTTTCTCAGTCGTGACAGAGGGAGACAGGACAGTCCTCCAGGAAGCAGTGTTAAACCTTCTGGAGAAGAAACACGCCAAAGAGAGGGAGCGATTTCTGCAGATGATGGAGGACAAAAGCAACCAGGAGCTGCGTCTGCTGGCGGAGGCGAGCTCGGAAGAGGAGAGAAAGGAGAAACTGGCAGAGTTGATGAAGGAAAGGGAGGCACTGAGACCAGGTGATATTATGTTGATTGATTTATTTGATAATAACTGAATACTTTCCCAAGTTGTTTCAATAAATGAATAAAAATAGAAACAGACAGACAAGAGATGTGGGGATGCCCAGATGAGAGAAGTCTACATACCTACACTAGTTGCCAGTGATTAGCAATTTAATAAGTCAGTCTTGCTTATTTATAAAATGCATTAGGGGTAAGAAAAAAATTTTTTTTTTATATGAATGTTAGACTCTGGAATTTTATTCCTTTAGTTAAGATCACATTGATAAATGTTAGTGTAATTAGTTTAATTGTCAAAATTATATTAAAATTTTTATCATGTGCTTTAAAGTACTTTTTGTTGTTTACTGTCTTTGACCTCAACAATTTTTTTCCTTATTGCTTACAAACATGTCTTATTTCAGATGATAAAGATTCAAACTACAAAATTCTCCGTGATGGCACAATGGTAAAGATTGAGAGTAGCAGGATATCTATAGGAAGAGAGAGTGGAGCAGAGCAGGTCTCAGATGAAGAGGTTCACACCTCTCTCATGGCCGATCTCCAGGAACGACAAGACCAAGAAGCCAGCGACATCATCACCAAGTTCTCCGACACTGTAAGACAGCTGAATATATGGTTGTTGTAGTGGCAAACTTATTGTATAATTTGATCATTTTGAATTGCTGATATTGACTGATGTAATGTTTTCATTTCTGTATGCTTCTTTCTTTTTAGCAGTAATGATAGGCTTAAACTTATTTTCGTATATCATATACTAATAGTATTATTGTGAGTTTCCATTCTTTTGTCTTTGAGTCAGTAGACTAAAACTATTAAGTTTTATATGTCTAGATTAGTTGCCACTAATGATTTGTTTTATATATAGCTGAAATGAATTTTAAAATGTTTTATTTTATTTAATGCTATTTCACCACTTTGATGAGAAATGTTATATAATGGCTTTACCTGATTCCCCAGTCACATATATATGTAGACACAGGTACAAGAGCATTGATTGTGGCATTCAATCATTTCAGAGTGATGCTGACTTGGTCACAATGCAGGAGTCAATTGCGTTAGAGAAGAAGCAGGACAAAGGCGAGAACATTGCCAGGGTGTTGTTCCACAGTAAGGCAGGGGGAGGCAAGGCCAAGGAGTCCGACCTTCTCGAGGCTCTGGACGGCAAGTACGAAGAACTGAGGAATAAGTTACTGATGGAGGCCTTGGTTCAACAGGTAAATGACTGGGATTTGGGTGTTACATTTGGTAGCTTTGAGGACATAATTATGGAAATTATCACAATAAATCACATTTTGATGAAGGATATTGTAACAACAAAGATATGTAATATGCTTTGCTAAGTTAAAGATGTTACTTGTGGCACTTTCAATGTTTTTAGTCACAGTTTTTTATCAGAAATTTATTGGAAATTTGTTTGGAAAGACTTACTTGTGGTAATATTCAAGTTAATATTTTTACTGCACACTCTTGGGTTTTTTTTTTTGTTTTTTGTTTTTTTGTTTTTTTTTATTCAGTAGAAATTATATGTTAATGTCAAAATGTTTTAATGAACAAATTATATAATTACAACAGGTGGGAGAAGCTGAGTGGAAAAACATGACTGAGCAGGAACGTCAGAGAAGAATGATGCAACTTCGTCTGGAAGAAAGGAGACTGAGGAAAGAAGGGAAACTGGATGAGGCATCTGCGCTGTTGGGTGAGGAATATATTTGTTTTGAAGCAATTTTGTTGTTTTTGATGCCTTATATGTTTTTTTTTTTTCAAATTAAAATGAAAAACATCTTCAATTTTTTTCGATACTCCTGCCATACCAATTTATAAAACTTTCTGTAAACATTTTCTGGCAAGGAACATTTAAATCATTTATGAATCATACCTTAAATAGACATCGTGTAGAGTATTAGGATTTATCAGGTATGTGATGAATTGATAGGCTTAGTCTACAATAATTCTATTTATAATTTTAAAGAGTTAATTTTTAAATCCAAATTACTCTCTTTTAAAGGAGAAGCACTCAAGAACAAAGAGACACTGGAAAAGTTAATGGGAGACAGCAGGGCGGAACAGAAGCAAAAACTCAGAGAGAGGCTGGAGAAGAGGAGACAGAGGCTGGCAGATGGTAAGGGGTCATAATGGATTGTTATAGTAAATACATTTTGAAACAAAAGGCAAGAAATGGAGGCTGGCAAATCAAAAACAGACTGGAAAGCAGCTTTGTCTGTCAGTTGAAACCTGTACTCTTATGAAGTAGAATTGGATTATACAAGATCAGTGGTTAATGTGTGATTTACTGTGGTGATTTTTACAACATTTCTTGTTTTAATTTTCTTTTTTTTTTCTACAGTTCAAGTGTTATTACTGAATGTTAATTTTTTTGGTTATGCAGGAATGTCAGAGGAAGAAGCCAAGAAGTTAGAACAGGAAGAAATAGCACAGGAAGAGGAGGAAGAGAAAAAGAGAAGAAATGTCCTTTTGGATCTAGAACACAGATATGATAAGGTAATCTTTACAATTGATATAAAAGTATCTGCATTTAATTCAATTATTAGCAATACATCTGATTTGTACTATTCTTTTGCAAATTGCAGCATGTTATTAGAATAATAGAATTAATCGAACGAAGCATAATCTGTGATATAATTTGACATCACAGACTCTTGTTATTCAGAATGACATTCAAAATTATAATCATGTTAATGACATGATAATGGAATCAACAAACAAAAAAAGACCTCAACTTCATTATTATTATTATTATTATTTTTTTTTTTTTGAAACCCTTTTGATTTTTATATAAATTATTTATATACATTATTTTATTCAGGAGAAAGAGGAGTTGCTGAACAGACTGCGTGGCATGGGGGATAAGAACTCTGCTGAGCGTGCTCGTCAGCTGGAGCTGACCAGACTGAGGCGTGAAATGAGGAAGGCGAAGCAGGAGGAGCAATTTGATGCAGCGGCCATTGCACTGGGGCTGGCGGTGCAGGGAGAGAAAGCGTAAGTGTTGAACAATTACTACAGACTTGTGGAAATCAAAGTATTTGGATATTTGACCTTCTTATAGTTTATCTGTGCCAAAAAGATATTTTTTGGTAAATGATTTAATTATCATTTGCTCCATAACATGCAGAGTATAGTGACCAAATATTAAAGAGGCGTCATTATAGGACTGAATTTTTATACAAATTTGCTTTGAAAAAAAAAATACATTAGTAGGTAATGCCGTCATTACCTGAATTGAGAATCAGACATAAAGCGATTAGATATTTCAGAGGGTTGGAGCCCACTGAATTAAAAAAAAAGCAGCTTCTAATTTCTCATTTTTCTTATGCAGGAAAGAGCAAGAGAGACTGAGACAAGAAAAGCTTGCCAAAGAAAGAATAGCTGCCAGGCGTAAGAAAGGGCAACAAAAAGGAGAGGAGACGACACCTGGACAGGAAGAGGAAGTGCCCCTGCCAGAGAATGAGAAGGACCCCATACTTATGCATGAGGCTGTTGTCAAGGAGATGGAGCTGAAGCATGCAAAAGAGAGGGAACTTTTGCTACAGGTATGTCTGGGCACCTGACCATTGAAAATAGAGAAGGTGAAACAATTGCAATCACTTTTATTGATTCTCTTCATACTACTTATTTTCAAGTTTTAAGTTAGAAAGTACTTTCATTATGTGTTAAGATCTAAAGGATTAGAAACTATGTTCTCAAGTGTANACAGCTGGTGGCACAGAGGCAGGCGGAGGGTCTGGAGACAGACGACGCCACCTTGGAGGGGATTATAGAGGAGGAAGAGGCCAGGGAGGTGGAGGAGGAGAACAAGAAGAGAAAGGTACCACCTGGGCCAGAAGTGATCTGAAGATTATATATATCCAATTTTAAATTCATTTTAGGGATTGCATAGTCTGTTGGCTATATTATCTTATTGACAAGCGATTTAAATTCAGAATTAGGTTAGATGAATTAAAAGAATTATATATGTATTATCTTAAATGTAAATGGTAAATTATTTAATATTATTTTTACCATCCTTTAATCAGTTTGAGTTTAAAATACAATCATCATCATCCACAACAGTGGACAGGTTCATCATTATGTGTTTTCTGCAGACAATATGATCCTACATCATTTCACCCAGACTGCTGACCTCATTTTCTACATACAGCCCTGTCCGTTTTTGCCAGAGAAGGAGTAAAAGATCACTACCTGTGTGGCACAAAAGCAGTGGCCAGTAACTATTGTTTTCAGTTGGCATTTTATAAGATGTCACTTATTTTATTATTGTAGAACATATTGAATGGTCTGCAGATGTCCCTGGAGGCAGAGAAGCAGGCTCTCTTGGCCTCTCTGCGCAATCAAGACGATCGCTACGCAGCAGAGAAACAGAGACAGCTGGAACTGGCCAAGTTGAGGCGAGAGAAAAAGCGTCTCCAGCAGGAGGACAAACTGGACACTGCCACCATATTGATCAGCATGGCCAAGCAGCAGGAGAAGGATAGGGAGAAGAAGTGAGTTATTTGTAGCACTTTTTTGTTGGGAGGGAGAGGGGGGGGGTAAAATTTTCATTTATAATTATATTTCATGTAGTGAAAATTTTGAAAAAGATCAGCATGAAATTTTACATAAAATTTAATGATATCCCAAAAAATATTTTATTCAAATCTTACTTCATGTAATATGCTGTGAATATGTTTCTATTTTTACTGTTTTCTAAGAAGATATTTGAAAGATTCTTGTTATGAAACTCGAAAAAAAAGTTTGTTTTACATTTAGATTTTAGCACATGTTGTATGCCTGGTGTATATTTCAGCTTTGTGACAGAGAGAGATCGCCAGAAAGCTATAGCCAAACAGAGGCTTGAAGCCAGGAGGAAGACAAAACAGGAGGAGAAGGCCGAGGAGGCGGAGAGAGACCGCAAACAGATCGAGGATAAACTGAAGCTGGAGGAAGCAGAAAACAAGATGAAGGATATGTTGGCTGAAGTCAGTGGGGGAGGTAGGTTGACATGGTGACAGGTCACATTGAAGGGTCACCTGACTCAATTGAAAATATCAGCCTATAGACTTTTAGATCAATATAAAATAGGTCTTGTATGTTTTGATATTTTTCCATAAAACTAATTTTTATATCCTTTAGTTTATGAAAACTTTAATAAGATAACATAGAAAACTATCACTTTGACTTGATAATGAATAATAATGTAACATTAAAGTTTGTTGTATTGATATAAATATCTCAGACTCTTATACATGTATTAGTTTAGTAGCTGCAAGTTTTTTTTTTAACATGATAGCATTTTATTTATATAATATCACAACAGCCATTAATTTCTGTTAAATCAGGACCAGTTAAGGGTCTTGTGGCCATGTTAAGGGGGGAAACAGGTAGATCGGTGGAATCTGTTTGATTTATGTGGTTTGGTTTTACTGACTGTCTGTGATTGACCTTGGTCCTATGTAGAAAATTTATTAGAGGCTATAGATTTAATGGTATATTGTTTTTTTAACCTTGTGGACAGTGCTAACATCATGCATCAAAATATGTAGCCTTTCTCCCTCTGAATCCCACTGTGTTTTTCAAGTAGTCTCTTTCTTTCTGCTGAGAAATTACAACTGATATGACATAATATGATGTGATATCTTACTAAAAAAACATGCCCACTTAAACATTGGGCTTGTTAGTAATCCTGTCTTTAAAAAACTTACCCTTTTCTTAGTGCATGAACTGACTTGTTTATCTCTAATTCTCTGTATGTCACGATAGTTATTGAAGATCAAACTAAGTGTGTATGCAGAAAGTGTGCAATCATGTGGTTAACTTTGTTCTGATTTTCAGGAGAGATAACTAATTTTTAATATATTCAGAACCCATAAACCCACACATTGTTTTCTAAAATGAAAACTACTGATTTTGATCAGTCTCATTCATTATGACAACTGATTATTATCAAGACAAGTGTTTTAATAGACCCTAACAGCATAATAACCTATATTTCATAAGATTTCTAGTTAAAGCTAAAAATAATTTTAAACATTAGTTTGCTAATGTAAGGTAAGAGCATTGGATACCCCTTCTATCCATATAGGAAAGTTATTGTTAGTGGCATTTGCATTTAATTTTATTTCTTTCATTTCTGAATTGTAACCCAAGAGATGAAAAGGTTCATGTATATTGCTACAGAAAGGAAGAGCACAGTCAAACAGTCATAAATTAACAAGTGTAGCAGTAAAAGAACATTCACGAGTAATTAAATTCAGTGTCAATCACACATTTTGTTTTCGTTCTGTGTAGGCACTGCAGCCCTGCAAGACTCCCTGCTTGCTGAGGCTGAGCAGAAACAACAGGCTGAGAGAGATGTCCTGATGCAGCTCATGCAGGCAGCAGAACAAGATCCTGGCTGGGAGGCAGCAGGCAGCATGTCTGTAGAGGTAAGACACAGTGACAGGAGGGGGTGGGAGGGGGAGGGGGCAGAACAAGATCCTGGCTGGGAGGCAGCAGGCAGCATGTCTGTAGGGGTAAGATGGTGTGAAAGGAGGGGGTGGGGGGCTGTATAACAAGACCCTGAGAGGCAGCCCGCAGCATGTCTATAGAGGAAGGATAGAATGATAGTGTAATAGACGTAAGTAGGGGCAAGCCCATGTGAGACCCAGACTAGATGTATGCAAGGGCTTTATCTTTAAATGCAATAAGGAGGTTGAAACCAATATGTAGGAGTTGAAGAGGTTGATTGGATGCTAAAAATATGAAGGATGATCAATTACATGTGAATAAGACTTGTTTGCCTTAATCTCATAAATATCTAACTGTTCCTATTTAAAAACTATATGTATATATAACATTGCAACTAAATCCTTCTACAGGATTTGAAAGCCAATTTGGAGAAGGTACGTCAAGATCGCATGAAATGGCGCAGTAAGTGCCGCCAGACAGCCTTAGAGAGCAGGGAGGCAGACATGACAGAGGCGGAGAAAGAGCAATATCTGACAGAAGTGGCACAGAGCAGATCTGAACAGTTCAAGCTGCTCACCACCGCCATGGTGTTCAGGCTGCAAGGTGAGCTTTGTATTTGTTTATTTATTTATTTTATATTTATTTATTTATTTATTTATTTATTTATTTATTTATTTATTTATTTATTACAATTTGGTAAGCTACAGAGATGTTGTGGCTTTAAGACACCATTTTATTTTAATACTTAAGACAAAGTGATATCATTAGAACCAATAACTTTTTCCTTTAAATTTGTAATTTTAATAATTTTTTACAGATTTGGTCATGTTTCATTTATACTTTCATGTTAAACTATTATATTATTATAATGGTTTCTGTTACAGCTGAGTACAAGACAATTCTTGAGAAGAACCCTAATGTTAGCTCTGAGCGTGTCAAGGAAGACATCTCCATTGCTTTGCTAGCTGACCTGCAGCAGAAGCAGAATGCTGAAAACAACGCCCTGGGCAAAATTATCTTAGAACAGGCGAGTGGATTGGTATTTCTCTGATACATTATGATAATATTGTTGTAAGTTGAAAACAAATTTCAGTAGTTGAATGGTTTTGATTGAATTTTAGAGAATTTCTCAACTTAAATTGCACTTGCCAATTTTTCTCAGCTCATTTTTTGTACGTAATGTATTATTACGTAGTTAATCAAGTTACTTTACATTTTCTTCTATTTATGTGCAGTTTAGCAAGACTTGAAATATGTATGTATTGTAATGATAAATTATAATGATTATATCATATAGGATGACTCTATGCTGATGAAAGTGCAGCAATCCCAGCGTCGTGCGAAGCGGGAGGCATGGATGGACAATCTTACGAACTCTCTGTTCACAATGCTGCCAGAAATGGAACCAAATCGAGGCTGGGAAGAGAAGAAATTGCAGGACTTGGAGAAAGAGTTTGAGAAAGAAAAGGAAGAAGTTGAGAAAAGTATGTTTTGGTTATACTTTTCTTTCTGTTTATCTGAAAAATTGTGGCTTTTACTGTGACTATAATTTGGTTGGATGTTTAGAAAAGAAGTAAAATTATACAACAGTTTGTTTCTATACTGTCTTATATATGTTTAGTCTATTAATCATTTCAGTAAAATATTATGCACCTAAATATTGCAGCTGCTGCTATTGATAAATACAATTTTGTTAGAGAAAAATTTCATAAATAAATAAATACAATTTAATTTGTCTGCAGAAAAACAAGCAGGTGAAGAAGTAGATGCTGATGCCATCTTGAAAGAGCTTGAAGCACAGTATGCTGCAAAGAGGAAGGTAAAAGATGTTTATTGTTATTATTATTTCCTATAGTAATCTGTATTATATCCAGATTATCGTATGGTGCACTGATTAACTGCCTACTAAAGCAGTGAGGGCACAAGCCATTTGCTATAATACCTCAGTTTTCATGCCAAAGATGTTCAGACTGTGTGTCTGTATCAAAAGTGAAAAGAAGCTGAACCAGATGAATGAGTTTCTTTATCAAAATACCAGCTTCAAACTTGTGACCTTATAATGTGACCTTGCCCTTTGACCTTGCAGGCCATGAATGAAGCCCTGGACAGGCAGAGAGAGATGTATCTGAAGAAACTGGAGGCCAGGAGAGAGGCCAAGGAGAACCAGGAGTATGAGGCAGATGCTGCCTTGGCCATGTTAGAAGTGGCCCAGAGACAGGACAGCTTGATAAAGGAGAAACAAGACCAAGAGAGAGACAGACAGGGAGGGAAGGTGAGTACAGGCGGTATGTGTAGGAGTATAGTGATATTACAGCTTAATGAATAGAATAAAAAAGATAGATGTGGATAGAGTGAGAGAAAAAAGGAGACAAACAGCATGACCTGGAGTAAGGAAGAAATAAATGATTGCATTTGCATGACTCAAATTTATAAATGAATTTATTTTATTATGAATTAAAATGCAGGTATGTTAAAATTTCTATCCACTTCCCTGTTATTCACTACTTATAATAATAACTGTATACAGTTGCAAAATTAAAAAAAAGTAAATATCATGTACCACTCAGAAAGCATCCAGATATCGATTGATTATTACACTACTCTAAAGATGACCCCCCCCCCCCCAAAAAAAAAAATAAAGACAAAAAAAAACAAAAGAGAAAAAAGAAAGAGAAGGAAAAAAAAGAAAAAATAACTGCACTGTATTTTCTTGATAACTTTCAGATGCAGAGCCTACTGGCAGCCAGACGTGAGGCCAGAAGAAAGGCTGAGGAGGAGGAAGAGGAGAGACGCAGGCGAGAAGCCACCATGTCCTTGCCAGGATCTGTAAGTTTTGAGTTGTCCATTTATTGGTATTAATTTGTCTGTTGATAGGCGATAGAAATGATAAAAATTAAAATTTTATTCCGTGACAGTTTGGTTACCACTTTTAAATAGAAACTATTACAAAAATTGAGTGTGATGACACAGTTGATTGATCTGATGTGATTTGGAATTTTTTTGATGGGGATTTTATAAAATTCATACAATGCCATTTCAGATTAGATGATAAAAATTTTTTCTGATGGGACATTTCCAAATACAAATTATCAATGTGCTCTAATAGCAGGTATCAGGAATGTTACACATACATGTACATAAGGTTTACATTTTCTCTGTTTTATTTGGTGTCATCAAGGATAAAGGTTATAACACAAAAAAGCTAAAATAACTATGTTGTTTCTCACTATAGGGTCTCAGAAGAGAAAAGACGGCATTTGATGTGGCCATCAGTGATGACCAGAAGCAGGCTCAGGTCCAGAGACTGGTGCGAGACCAAGCCAAGGTTCAGCAGAGGTACCTGCAGGAACAGTCCCGCTTCTCTGAGAAGGTACGGTGAAAATCTCTCTCTCTCTCTCTCTCTCTCTCTCTCACACACACACACACACACACACACACACACACACACACACACACACACACACACACACACACACGCAGATTTGTGAGAATATTTATTCACCTTATCTTGCTATAGTCTAAAAGTGTTGGCAGTATTTTTTTTAGTAAACAGAATGAAAATAGAAAATGATCTGTTAAAAAAATGGTGCCATAAAAGTAGATATTCCATTAAGGAATAACCAAGGATTTTAGTTAGTTATTAAAGTGGACATGAGAATTTTGTGAAAACCAAATGTTTTTAAAAAATTAATGTTTAAGTACCAGAGTAGAGAGTAGAGTTGTCTTTCAGTACAAAGTGTACATGACTGGATTTATACCTGTTGGTTATATGTTTAAATCAACATGTTAGTTTTGTTTGTGTGGTAATGGTTATCATAACTTTATTCCAGCTCAAAGCCCAGCTAGAGGAGAGAAAGCACAAACGAGAGAATGAAGCCGAAGCCTTGATGAGACTGGGAGAGAGACAGAAAACCATTCTGGAAACCAGAAAGAATGTGAGTACACCCTGTTATATGTATTACTATAATAGTGAATATAACTTGCACGTCAGTTGTAGTTTGGTATTTTCTGTATTAAAATTAAGATGACAGTCTGATATCAGTATGAAATAGAATTGCTAATTCATGCATACACAGTGTGAATGATAATCCAAAGAAATGAATAAATAAAAGAGCAAACCAGTCAATAGATGGAGAAAAAACTGTAAACAGAATAAGCATCATATACCTTGGCCTGTCATTACAGCAAGACAGAGAGCGCCAGATCGCCATGATGAAGGAACGCATCGAGAGGGTCAAATATGAGCGAACAAGGACAATGAAGGAGAAAAGTGACCGCCATGTCAAGCAGTTCAGCGACCTGGTCAATGATCAAGATGTTCAGGACATGACGGAGGATGAGAGGATGGAACTGGCTGCCCAGAAGATGCAGGAGAAGTTTTTGGCGGAGGAGAGCGAGGCTAAAGAGGGGAAGAAAACTGTGAGTATTGGCACCAGTTTGAGCAATGTTGATGTAAATTATAAGCAATTTCAGATACCTATGGCATGTTTTAACTTTAGGAATTAAAATTTTGTTATTTCCAGGGAAATTTACAGCTTGATGAAGTGCACAATTTTTTTTTATATCTTAGCAAGTACATGCAGATAAAATTTGTATTTCATGCATCGGTAAAATTAATACTCAAAAATAAATGTGCACAAGTATTTAAAATCAAGTCAGTATGTGCCAGTGATCTTTGATATGATAAAGCAATTGATGATAACTGATATTTCACTTGCGTCTGTCACAGTTCTGGGATATGGTGAGAGAACGCCTAGACAGTGTCTCCTCCTATAACACTGTCAGTACCATCGAGAAGGAGAACTCCTTCCTGCACTCTGAGGATGATTTCACATTGTGATGTATGAGGATGATTTCACAGTGTGCCATATGAGGATGATGAGAGTGACTTAGAACCCAAGTCCAGAGATGTTGTTGGGAACTGTCAAGTCTTAAAGGGATAATAACTCTTCGTTTCGGCCAAAAAATGAATTTTCCTGGAGTAAACAACGATTTTCCCATACTTACCAATGGTTAATGAATCCATTTTTACATTCAAAGTTAGTCCCTGTTTTTTTTCTAAAAAGTTTGGTTTTTTGTTAAAATCTCTTAAGAGATTATAACAGAGTATAGCCATCAATGGAGGTCACGTGATCTGAAGACAATCTCAGATATCAGAATAATAGCTATAACTGCTGTTTTTGTCGTAAAACGGAATATATTATATTTCTATGAGCTATTCACAATGTTTTTATTGTGAAATATAGATCTCATACGAAAAGTTATTATCCCTTTAACTAGAGTCTGTGAAATATCATATTGTATCCCTCCCTCCCTCCCTCCTCAGATTACCTCCAACTAATACCCTCTTCTCTCTTTGAAATTCTGAATCATACCTCAGTTGCATATAATGGTAGACCAAAAGGAAAAAATCTGTTTTAACCCTATTTCCTGACATTATTTTGTAATATATCTTATATTATTTGATATTGTACATGATAGTAAAATTTTCCACTATTAGCCAGAGAATTATGGATTTATGACAGAAATTTAATTTCAGTGATCTCTCAATTAAATTATGTGACCTGTACCTTGGCATACTTATATGAATTCAATATCTCAGGCCCCTTATGCCGCTCGCCCCCCCCAACATGACTCTGGACATGGATACCTTGAGTATGTGAGTGTGTGATACCTTGAGAGTTGACTTTTTGGGATTTCTTTTGAGGTGGATGTATAAGATTTTAAGTTTTAAATAAGATCATTTGAAAAAGAATGTTTGCATTATACTCAGTTTCAGTTTTGGTGAAGTGTCATGTTGTGATGTGATATGATATTATATGATGTGATATGACATAGGACAGTGTTTATGATGTGATACAATTTTATGCAGTGTGATATATAAAGTGATACACTATGGTAAGATATGAAATGGTGTGAAAAGATATAATTATGTGAAGTGATTTGGTGTGATTCTTTTGCTGATATTGAAAATGCAAAATTATTATTTAAAGGATGATTGAACTTAAAGAATGATTTTTAGAAAATGGAGTAGAATGATCATTGTTATTTCTCTCTGCACACATTCTTGTCCAAGTTGTCTCCTTAAAAATTTTGTTAGGTGCATAGTGGGTTAACCCAAGAAATAATGCCTGCATTTCTTCCAACGAACGAAGAATTTTCCAAGTTTTAGAGTCAAAAGAGGAAGTAACTAACATGCTTTGTGAAAAAGATGGATCTGGCTTGGTTTTCATGAAGACATTCTGTTTGTCAAAAGAAATGAAGCCGTAACTTTGGCATTCTTACGGGATAGGGGATCATTTTCCCTTTGAAATCAGCTCGGTGGCATTAACAGCTTTGATTGAGGTTATTTTTCCGATATAAAGCTTTAAGTGTTAAAGAATTTACATTAAGATTAATAAGTCTCAGATTTTGTTATTGCAACTTTATCTGTTCAGGCTGGAGAAGAAAAGATTTTGTTGTCGTCCCAGTTTGGGGATTAGATCGCAGCAGACGATAGGATTGTGTGGGGACATGTTGTTCTGATTGCTATTGGGTGTTACCCTTTCTTATGTTACGCCTGCCTCAGTTCTTTTTGTGTCTTTTTTTTTTTTTGGAAGGTATAAGGGTAGTTTTTGAAGATGCTTTCTGTAAATGCACTGTCCTACCCTAGATGAGGTCTTATGCCTTGTTGACAGCTCTTTCAAGTTTAGAGTTGGGTGAAGTTGGTGTTTTTGAGGTGTGGTCTGATTTTAGCTTTGATTATTTATCAAATTCCTGATAAGTGAATGCACCCGCACATCAGGATTTCATCTGATTAAGTTCTGATGCATTATTTTTTCTTTTAACTGAAAGCAGTTCTGAAAGAGGTTGAGGATTTTCATACCAGCCTTGTATATAGCCCCCCCCCCCCCCAAAAAAAAAATGGTTGAGGTGAGAAAAGATGGATAATGTTTCTTTCTGTCTTTTTTTCCTTTTATTTTTATGCATTTTTTGCTCCATGCCATTGAGGTACTTCAGAAATAGTAAAAAATATCCTTTCAGGCATGAACATTTACAGACAGTTATAGGATCTCATGGTATGCTTATTACGTGGTAAACTTGGTTAGCTGGTTTCATTTAACATGTCAACATTTTTGAAGGACATG